TTATCTTCCTTTTGTTAAGTTGTATGAGTTCCCTATAAATTTTGGAGATTAGGCCCTTATCAGATATGACATTGGCAAATATGTTTTCCCACACAGTGGGTTTTCTCGTTGTTTTGTTGATGGTTTCTTTTGCTGTGCAGAAGCTTTTTATTTTGATGTAGTCCCATTTGTTCATTTTCTCTTTAGTTTCAAGTGCCCTAGGAACTGTATCAGTGAAGAAATTGCTTCGGCATATGTCTGAGATTTTGTTGCCTTTGTATTCTTCTAGAATTTTTATGGTTTCCTGTCGTACATTTAAGTCCTTTATCCATTTTGAGTTTATTTTTGTGTATGGTGTAAGTTGGTGGTCTAGTTTCATTTTATTGCATATATCTGTCCAATTTTCCCAACACCATTTATTGAAGAGACTATCTTGGCTCCATTGTATGTTCTTGCCTCCTTTGTCAAATATTAATTGAGCATATAGGTTCGGGCCGATTTCTGGGCTCTCTATTCTATTCCATTGATCTATATGCCTATTCTTGTGCCAGTACCAGGCAGTTTTGAGAACAGCGGCTTTGTAATACAACTTGATATCCGGTATTGAGATCCCACCTACTTTGGTCTTTTTCAGGATTGCTGCAGCTATTCGGGGTCTTTTTTTATTCCAGATGAATTTTTGGAGAGTTCGTTCTAGATCTCTGAAGTATGCCGTTGGTATTTTAATGGGAAGTGCGTTGAATTTATAGATTGCTTTGGGTAGTATGGACATTTTAATGATGTTGATTCTACCAATCCATGAACACGGTATGTTCTTCCATCTGTTTATGTCTTCCTCTATATCTTTTTTCAACGTCCTGTAGTTTTCTGAGTAGAGGTCTTTTACCTCTTTAGTTAAGTTTATTCCTAGGTAGCTTAATTTTTTTGGTGCGATGGTAAACGGGATTGTTTTTATAATCTCTCTTTCTGAAAGTTCACTATTGGTGTATAGAAATGCCTCGGATTTCTTGGGGTTAATTTTGTATCCTGCTACATTGCCAAATTCATGTATTAAGTCCAGTAGCTTTTTGATGGAGTCTCTAGGGTTTTGTATGTATAATATCATGTCGTCTGCAAATAAGGACAGTTTTACTTCCTCTTTTCCAATTTGGATGCCTTTTATTTCTTCTTCTTGCCGAATTGCAATGGCTAACAATTCCAGTACTATGTTGAACAGGAGTGGTGAGAGGGGGCATCCCTGTCTTGTTCCTGTTCTTAGGGGAAATGGTGTTAGTTTTTGTCCATTGAGTATGATGTTGGCTGTGGGCCTGTCATATATGGCTTTTATTATGTTGAGGTATGATCCTTCTACTCCCACCTTGCTGAGAGCTTTTATCAAAAATGGGTGTTGAATTTTGTCAAACGCTTTTTCTGCATCAATTGATATGACCATGTGGTTTTTTTCTTTCAATTTGTTTATGTGATGTATCACGTTTATTGATTTGCGGATATTGTACCATCCTTGCATCCCTGGGATAAATCCTACTTGGTCATGGTGTATGATCTTTCTGATGTACTGCTGGATCCGATTTGCTAAGATTTTGTTAAGGATTTTGGCATCTATGTTCATGAGGGATATTGGCCTGTAATTCTCTTTCATTGTGTTGTCTTTACCTGGTTTTGGTATTAGGATGATGCTGGCTTCATAGAATGAGCTTGGAAGTGTTCCTTCCTCTTGAATTTTTTGTAGTAGTCTGAGGAGGATAGGTTTTAGTTCTTCCTTGAATGTTTGGTAAAACTCCCCTGTGAAGCCGTCTGGTCCTGGGCTTTTGTTTGCTGGAAGCTTTTTGATGACTGCTTCAATTTCTTCCATAGTTATTGGCCTGTTGAGATTATTAGATTCTTCCTGATTGAGTTTTGGAATGTTGTATTTTTCTAGGAATTTGTCCATTTCCTCCAGGTTGTCTAGTTTGTTGGAGTAGAGCTGTCCAAAGTATTTTTTAACAATCATTTGTATTTCTGTGGGGTCTGTTGTTATTTCGCCTCTATCGTTTCTGATTTTGTTTATTTGGGTCCTCTCTCTTTGCTTCTTGGTGAGTCTGGCTAGAGGTTTGTCAATCTTGTTTATCCTTTCAAAGAACCAGCTCTTGGTTTCATTGATTTTCTGTATTGTTTTTTTGGTCTCTATGTCATTTATTTCTGCTCTAATCTTTATTATCTCCTTCCTTCTGCTCACTCTGGGGTTTTCTTGTTGCTCTCTTTCTAATTCTTTGAGTTGTAGAGTTAGATGATTTACTACCATTTTTTCTTGTTTTTTGAGATAGGCCTGTAGAGCTATAAACTTCCCTCTCAGGACTGCTTTCAGTGTGTCCCATAGGTTTTGGATTGTTGTGTTTTCATTGTCATTAGTTTCCAGGATGTTTCGTTATTTTTCTTATTAGTAACAATAAACTACGCTGCTTGTAGGATAGAGAAATAATGGACAGTATCATTTTACATCTAATGTTAGATGCCTCCTCAAGCTAATATTAAGCATTAAAAATTCTTTACAGCCCTAACTGGTTTGGCTCAGTGGAGAGAGCGTTGGTCTGCAGAGTGAAGGGTCCCAGGTTCAATTCCGGTCAAGGGCATGTACCTTGGTTGTAGGCACATCCCCAGTAGGGGGTGTGCAGGAGGCAGCTGATCGATGTTTCTCTCTCATTGATGTTTCTAACTCTTTATCCCTCGCCTCTCCTCTCTGTAAAAAGTCAACAAAAAAATATTTTTTAAAAAGTTATTTACAAAATGAGTGTATTTTACTTTATATCATAATTTAAATTTTGACTCACAACTATTACAAAGTAGACATATTTTATAAGTATGAACAAGATTCAAACAAATGAAATGGAGAGTAAATAATTGTGTGTGCGTGTCTGTGTGTGTTTGTTACCAGCTCTAAGTGCAACAGGAATTCTAAGAGTGGGCAAACTCTGTAATTTATAAGAACCCACAAAAGCTTCCTTGCAGAATAAGTATCCTTTTTGTAAGTATTATGGAGCTACACCAGGAAAAACAGAAGTAGCTGACAGAAGTAGCTTTCAGAAGACAAGGAAGTAGTGGCATATGAAACTTTGATTATTTCTAAATAATCACTTATGAAGTGTTTTTTGTTTTGGCCAGGAAAAAGATTATAGATGGCTTATGTAAATATGTCCCATATAGGATATCATTTAACTAAAGTATATAGCTTAAAATAAAATTATTTGTTAAAATTATAACTCTTACTGCGTTGTGACTAATCCCAATGTAGAAACTATCTAAGCCACCTCAAAAAAAAAAAAAAAAAATGCCAGCACCTCTGAATGTTTTCTTTAGTGACTTTCTTTAGTTAACACGGTGATGGAAAAGCTTTGATGTAGTTATCCCAACATTTAGATATAATTATTTCACATACATTGCAAATTTAGTTGTGATTCACAGCCTATGCTCCAATTTAAGTTTACACATTTGGGGCAAACACAATTATAAAATGTAGTAAATCAGTTAACTCATTTTTTAAATTATCTAGGCACCACATAGAAAATGGTATACATAATATCAGTGCTACTGAGAAGAGATCATTGTTATTAATCCAAATAATTGGAAATGCCTTTGAATTTATTCTGATTGTCTAGTTTTTATCAAAGCACCCACTGCAGTTCTTAAAATAACTTCTTGATTATTTCTTTCTCTGGACTATAATGCATTGAGGATTAACTCATCCTTGGCATGTGAAAACTGGCTCAAGAAATACTGTATTAAACTAATTTGAGTTAAGTTGAATTAAATTGAGTTAGTTAAATTATTTTAAGAAAAGTAGTGTCCCTAGTTTCAGATGAAATATAATTTTAAGTGAAAAATGGAATGTGAAATCAAATCATTTACACATTGACAAGTTTTATAAACTAGTATGGATTTTCATTGGCTCTAAGCCTCAATTGTTAAATTGTATATTATTTTTAATATTTATTTATTGATTTTAGAGGGATTTGTTGTTCCACCCATTCATGCATTCATTGGTTGATACCCATATGTGCCCCGCTAGAGATCAAACCCACAGCCTTGGTATATCTGGCGAGGGCAGTTGTACCATTATTTTATAAAATACCATTAAAAGAATGATGTGCACTAAAATAAGATGCAGCACTTTATTAATATTTATAACTTTAATTTTATAATTACCAAAAGAGCTTTTAAAGACATACTTACATTAATTTAATCATTCTTGAATATTTTATGCATATACACACAAATACACACATATATCCAGAAAATGTACACTTAAAAAAATTGAGCAAGGCATTTCAAAACCTTCTTTCCAAGCAGTATTTGGCTCTCCTAAGTTAGTTTTTGAGTCCAAATCCATGATGTTCATGTTTAACATAAGAGTTTGTTCTCCTTGTCCATGAGGGAGCATATTTTAAAGGAGAAATCCACCATTTTTTTCTGGTAATTCCATCTAAACTACAGGGTCCATTCTACAAGTTTGGGCTGGTACTTTCTTGGTCCTATCAGAATGTGTCAACAGAAAATTTTTCAGAAAACAATGAAGATTTCATATTCCGTTTTAAATGATCCTTAAATGGTTTGATTAAAGTATGAGTTAATGTGAGTTATTCTTATTGCCCAACCAAACCACAGAAATAACATACTAAAAAACAAAATTCTAACACAAGTCATTTATATAATGGCTAGATTTTTGTTACATAAATTTCCCTCCATTTACTAAGATATTTAGACAATATAGCTATATTTTGTCAAAAAACTTTTTCATCAAAAGTTAAATGACTATGATCATAAACTATATATTATGTAGTTCTCATGTGTTATTTTATGTGCTTTTACATGTATGATTAAAGATAACCAGTCAAACTGATTGGAATGTACTGAAGTCTTCATTATATGCTCTGTGTACTGCTGTTTTTCTTTGATCATTCAAATGTGCATTCTCAGCTTACAAAATTAACAATGTTAAAAATGAACAACCCAGCAACTGAATATTTCTTAATCTCATCTCTACTCAGGTCCCATAAGCAGTATTTTGGTGAATAAATATGGTAGCCGGCCAGTGGTGATGCTAGGAGGTTTGCTGTGCTGTGTGGGATTGGTCGCAGCCTCTTTTAGCACCAGCGTGATAGAGCTCTACATCACTGTGGGATTCATTGGAGGTAAGTTTTGTTTTCAGCTTATTATTTTAACATTCATGTTGTTCACAAAGCTCTCTAAAATACATGAACAATAGAACATTCTCATTGTTTTCTTTGAATTTTATTTTATATCAGGTATGATCTTGAATTATTTTCATCTAATACATTGAAATACTAGCTATGGAATGTCCAATCAAAATTATTTCAGGTAATGGGAGAAAATGATTCATCAGATACATAATGCTCTATGATATAAATGCCAAAAACAAAACAGCATTGGTCTGTTTTTATCATTTTACTCTTTACTCTTCAGCCAGTTAAGATGGCAGACAGAAGCTTTCTGGCATATAAATAGCTTCATTTAAAAACATGTATTTTTCAATACTATATTTTTCATCAAATATAGTATTTACAATATCTGATATTTTACACAATGGGTTAAAAATGGTGGCAAAGAGTTATTTTCTGGATGCACTGACTTAGCTTTAACAATAGAATTATTGTATTCTGTTTATGGTGGTGCTCTGTATTGGTGCCCCTTTGTTTCCTTCCTAAAAAGATTCTGGTATAAGCTCTAGAAGGCACATTGGCCACTAAACACAAATATTTTCAAATGACATCCTAGCATGCGATTATAGTTGTTTCTCATGCAAAATGTCTCTGGACTTAAACTGACCTGAATATGTACATTTGGAAAATACAATGTTTATTAGCCTCAATAATAAATTGAATCAAACAAATCTATTCTCAGTGTTAAGAAAAATTAGACTTCAGTATATAAAGAAATTGAATCTTTTTCTTATGCCCACAGATAACAAGGTAAACGTATTTCTCTTTTGTGATTTTAGATCAGTCTAACCTTGCACTTACGTGTCATGTGGTGAAAAAAATTTGAAGCATTAAAGCCTACAACATAGTGATGTTAAATCCTTCTCTTTACTTCCTATCAACACCTCTCTCTCTGTTTTCTTGATATGGTAAAACATCTTTTGTGAGTGAGAGAATCTTACTCTATCCAAAAAATTGCCAGAATGGAGAGAATGCCCTTTCCTTTGTGCTGAAAGTAAGGCTAAGTTTACAAGTAGATGTATTAGGGAAAAGGTGATCTGGGAATTACTGCACCACAAATAGCAACAGTATTATAAAGGTGGGGCAAAAATAGGTTTACAGTTGTGAGTGTGTGAAGCAGTTTATTCTTGTATTATTATTTATTAATTATTGTAATACAAATAATTGCAAACCTTACTTTTCCCCCACCCTGTATATTATTCTAACTTTAATTCCATTCCTTTGGGTCTTGGAGGCTTTGGTGCTGCTAGAGTCAATCGCTAAGTACACCTATAAAAAATTGTCGTAAGTTATTGTCAGCCAATACTTTTTGGTACCTGAAATCAGACAAGTTTTTCAGAAACCTGACTCAGCACACATTAACTGTGTGATCCTGGGTAAATTAACCTCCTGATGCCCCATTCTCTCTGTCTTTAAAATGGGGGAAATGATAGCTCTATTATTTGGGAGGTCTTGGAATGATTAAATGAAAAAGTTAACATGGAGTACAGAGTGCCCAGCATTTTATTACTTTTAAATAAATATTAGTAAATAATAATCATCACAATGTCATTATATAATATCTTACAGTTCTAGAATTTAGTTGATTTCGGCAACCGTATCTTTGTTGTTGAGGGAATTAGAGCTGAAGAAGTCTAAATGTTTTGCCAAGTAGCACACATAGGTAAGTAGTTGAGGCAGATTTAGATTTTTTTATTTCAAATCTCATGCTTGTTTTGCCATGCCAGAATAGGAAATAGATGGCCACTCTCTCTTAAGGAGAACTTGGATTACCATCTGAAAGTAAAATTCCAGGTGACAGAATGGGGACTAGGGGGGAGGAGATGGCATAGGATGAAGAAACTTAGCACACAATTTCAAAACACAATTTGGGCCCTGGCCAGGTAGCTCAGGTGGTTAGAGTGTCCTCCCTGTGAGCCAAGGTTGTGGGTTCGATCTCCAGTCAGGTCACATGCAAGAATCAACCAATGTATGCATAAATAAGAGGAATAACAAATCCATCTCTCTCTCTCTCTCTCTCTCTCTCTCTCTCTCTCTCTCTCTCTCTCTCTGTGTGTGTGTTGGTAAAATTTAAAAAGAAAAATACATTTGAAAACAATTCCTGAGTTTTAATTTTGCTTCTTCCACTTTTGAGCCACTGACTATAGGCTGGTCAGTTTTATTATTTGTATGTTGGGTCTCTTTACACTTATTCTGCATATCTCGCAGGTACGGCAGAGGGCAGCGGTAGAATCAGGGAGCATACTGCCCTGTTGTTCCCCAAGCATGCTCTTCGTTCCTCCCAGTCAGCTTTTAGGGACCCTCCTCCTCATAGAAAACATTTGTATTAATTGTTTGCAGTAAGTATTTGTACTCAGAACTGAATATCCCAGAATCTAAATACTTAACTACTTGGCAGTACTGTCTCAATTACATAGATTAGTAAATGCAGAATTCTTACTTCTATAACTCCTAAAATAATATGGAATAATATGTAGGTGAAGAGTGAAAGAGAGGCAGTTTATATCAATCAACTTTGTGTACTTTTTAAACAAACTTTTGCATTACTATTGCTAAATAGTACCTTGGCGAGCTATAAGAAAGAATTTTCAAAGGCGATATTTAGCACAGCCAAGAAGCTCCCTAGACAGCAGGGACTTGTGACTTATATAAACAATAATCTTTACTCCCTGAAATAAGACTATGTTTCAAGCTCCAAAATTATTTGCTTTTTAGTTAACACGCACATGCATCTATATTCATGAAATGTGGAATGTGAGGATGGAGAGCATGGAACTAATGACATGAATTTATTATTCTTTTTTATTATTTGCATGGCTTTGAAGAAATATCTCTGGGGAGACCTAAGATTGCTTATAAGTGACAAAATTTTTAGTGTGTTCAACTGAAAAGAAACCATTCATGTTTTAAATGCAGTCTTTCCCAAAAGGAAATGAATCTATCATATATATATATATATATATATATATATATATATATATATATATATGATATATATATGTGTGTGTGTGTGTGTTTGTATATATGTATGTATATCTATATATGTATATATATTTATGTAAATATGAAAGGAGATGAAAATCTGTGGAACTAAGTGATTGTAATTATAAGAACTAATAATTTTATCCTAGTTTCAACCTGTTCTCTGATTTTTGAAACATCAGTAAAAGTTTTTGGTTTTATTTTTGTGCTTTAAAATGTAAGGACTATGAAACCATCATACATACCAAGTGTCCAGTTATGAGAAACTTTTTATGTGCCATTCTCTTGCTATTGATGACTAACAAAAATCCCCACCTGCCATTGCCTTTTGAGTCCTGCCTTACCCAATTGAATGTAAGTTTTGAAGAGTAATTTCTTTCGTGAGTGGCATAATGTGTTTGTGTTTTTCTTCCTTCTGTTTTGTTCTTTGCAGGTTTAGGTCTAGCCTTCAACCTGCAACCCGCCTTAACAATCATTGGCAAATACTTCTATAAGAAACGACCCATGGCGAATGGGCTCGCCATGGCAGGAAGTCCTGTTTTCTTAAGCACATTAGCCCCTTTCAATCAGTTCCTTTTTAATATGTTCGGCTGGAAAGGAAGCTTCATGATTTTGGGAGGCATATTGTTGAATGCCTGTGTGGCTGGGGCTCTCATGAGACCCGTTGAATCCAAACTAAGTACTAAGGCTCAAAATAAGATTGGCGAAACGGAGCTTGAGTCGGGTGTGAAAAAAAGCCACAAGAAGCAATCAGCCTGGGAAAAAATTAATAACTATTTAGATTTCTCCCTTTTCAAGCATAGGGGGTTTTTGATATACTTATCTGGAAATGTCATTATGTTTCTAGGATTTTTTGCCCCCGTTATATTCTTGGCTCCATATGCTAAAGACAAGGGGATTGATGAGTACTCTGCAGCCTTCCTGCTGTCCGTTATGGCTTTTGTTGACATGTTTGCAAGGCCTGCAGTAGGATTCATTGCAAACACCAAACTTGTTCGACCTCGAATCCAGTACTTCTTCAGTTTTGCAATTATGTTCACGGGAGTGTGTCATCTCTTGTGCCCATTGGCAGAGGACTACATAAGCCTGGTGTTTTATGCTATATTTTTTGGCCTTGGATTTGGGAGTGTTAGCAGTATCCTCTTTGAAAGTCTCATGGACCTTGTTGGTGCTCAGAGATTTTCCAGCGCCGTGGGACTCGTCACCATTGTGGAGTGCTGTCCAGTTCTCCTTGGCCCTCCTCTGGCTGGTAAGATTTCTCATCAAGGAAAGCAAAAAGCATCAAATCAATAGCTATTGACTGAGATGTTCTTTGTAATACATCACAGGCTTTGTAATTTAAAAAATACGAATAGCCTGAAGGACTGAGGGTGTGTTCATTTTCGGGCTTATTATGTATTTTTGAACTTCATAATTAGTTGAATTTAGATCTAAATTTGTTTCAAACGCTGGACCTATGAACTTAAGAATTTAAGTTAAACGGGTAATTAGTTGCATAATGTTTAGGGTTTTTTTTTTACCCATATCAGTTGTTTTGGTGTTTTTAAAAATGTTTAATGAAAAAGTCACTTTTTAAATTTTATCATTGGTGATAGATTTCTCTTCCATCTATATTAAAATTAGTCAAAAATTTAAAATAGCTCTTTCAAAAGGTCAGGATCTATTTTCTTATTGGTTATATTGATATGGAACTTGTTGCCAGTACATGCCTAAGGGAGGAATACTTTTATAATACCCACTGATAGAATATATACATATATATATATATATATATATATAATCAGTAAAAGTCATTTTAATCAGACACTTATAGTTCATATTTATACATTATAAAGACTATATTTTAATTTTAAGATCTAAAATATTTTTAATATGCTTACAAAAGCATCTGTGTAAATAACCCAGTAAGGACACTAAGACGCATGTGTAAGTTCATTTTGAAGTTTAGACTTTGCTTAATTTTTGTTTATAATATATTAATGTTATAAATATTAAATGCTTTTTGTGGACCAGAATTTTTCAGTAACCACTGTATATTATTTTGGTTAATACTAAACTTGTATTCACGTAGACTCCTAGCCTGCCCCCTGGTGGTCACAGTAAATGCCGGGCTAAATGTAAAATTTTCAATGTATTTTAATCAGTTTACAAAAGGCTTCTTACATGAAATTAAGGAATCATTTTGAAAGTAGGAATATTTATCTTTTATTTACCAGCTTAAGACACTGACTTTTTACCTTTTGCTTTTTCACTTGGTTAGGAATGAGCTGCGTATTTGTGTACTTGCTGTCCACCACGCTTGTCTAGTAAATTGCACAGTTGTTTTGGGTGGTATATCCCTCAGTGTGCACGTACCATGGCACCAAAACAATTTTTAAAACCAGTTAAAACCAGTCAATATATTTATCAGCCAATGGATTTTATTTTATAAGACAAGTACAATTGGCCTATCTTTTCATACAGAAGCAGTTTTACCAAATGGGTTTTAGAAGCCTATTCATTAGCAATAAAATTCTTAGTATCAACAGAGAAAATTGTTATTTCAGTAGCCATGGTGGGATGATAAAAATAAAAAATAAATAAGAAAGGTCAACAGATGTAGTGGGTGGGCTTTCAGGATGAAAATGAAAGAATCTGGTTTGGCTGAAATTCTCCGTGGGCTGAGAACCTTTATTCACACGTACATCTATTTCTGCACCCTTAAATGCTTATTGTTTAATATTGGCAAACCATTGCACCTGTGATAGCTATGGCAGCAACTGACTTGTGGCTCCTTCATGAAGCTCTCACACTCTAGCCATAATACTTCCACCTTTTTCATCCTGTTTCTGCCTCCTGCCACCCCAGAGACACTCCATGACTTTGAGATGGGCTTCTTCTCTGCAGCATTTGGCATCTCCTAGAATGGTGTCTGGCACACTGTAGGCACTCAGTAAATACTTTTGAATGAATGGGTCTCGTAGTTACTTCTCACACAGTTGCTGCTGCTCCTACTACTCTTGCTCATAAAGCAGTAAAGGGTAGGGAGAGCATGATATTTATTTTTATTTTTATTTTTTGTCAGCCAAGACTTTCACTGCTGTACTCACAAAGAACTGAAGCTTTAGATCTAGAAATCATATATGGTTTCTTGATGATGATTAAAAAACTCCCAAAACATTTTGAAAGTAGGTTGATTCGGCAGCCCACAGTGATATTAACTCTGATAGGGCCATAGAACTGATGTTTATGTATTTTAAAGTGTGATAATCATTGTATAAAAAGAATATTTGACTTAAAGTCATAATGGGAAATTAAATTATGCAGTTTTTGTTATGCTTATGTATGTGTCATATGCATTCAAATGAGCCTATTCCACCATTTACCTAATTAAAACAGGGAAACTTGTTTAAATAGTTAATTTCAAAAATAACTAAATTTAACACTGAGCTACTGACTAGGTTTCAGTTAGAATGATAGAGATTCTGACTAAACAAATAGGTGTTTATCAGAATCACCTGGAATAAGCATATAAGAAACAACATGGGTTTGTGTACACTCAGGTTTGCTGGTAATAATTATCATTAAGAATCGGGTGCCTGCAAAAAAAAACAAAAACAAGAGGCAAATCTATGAACTGAAATATTTTTTAACAGTCAATAAAGCCTTCAGATTATATGGCACCAAGCTAGTTTTTTCATGTTTTCAATAATCAAATGGAATAAACATTGTCTTTTTTTTTTAAAAAAAAAAAAAACATTTTGTATTTATTTAAGAGAGGAAGAGAGAGGGAGAGAGAGATAGAAACATCAATGATGAAAGAGAATCATTGATCAGCCACCTCCTGCACACCCCCTACTGGGGATCAAGCCTCAAATGGGAATCAAACCATGACCTCCTGGTTCATAGGTTGACGATCAACCACTGAGCCATGCGCGGCGGGCAGCTCTGATTAGTTTGGCCTTAATAATTTAGATTTAGATAAAATAAAAACTGTAATTAGCCACAAAAGTGACATACCTCTTAACCATGAGAGTTGGTGAAGCCATTTTAAAGAACAGGTAAGAATATGAGGTTCAGACAGTCTTTGATCAGACCCAGAGTCTGCCCCTCCCTGGCTGTGTAACGGTGCTCAGATCACTTCCCAGTGCTCCTGTGGGAATCGGTGAGATATTGCAAACAGTGTTTAGCCTAGAGCTGGGCATAGGGAAAGCATTTAGTAAACATCAGGTCCTCTATGAACTTTATAAAAGCCTTTGGGTCTTTCCTAAAGAACGTAATGTTTCTCTCTTTTTTCAAAAGATAGGAAGCATGAGAAGGAGTGAAGCAATCTCAATGTGTCTGCTGTAAATAAATAGATAGATAGATCTATTTCTAAATGATAGATATTAAACATGTCTGTATTTAGGAATATGCACCCCAAAGCATATATACCTACTTTGTCTTAATTGTACATTTGTATTGAGGGTAATCATGCTCAATAATTTTAATATACCAGTAATATAATGCTGCATGTGCACATACATGCCTTTATTTATAAGTATAAGTCATAAACTAATTTTTCATTAAATATTTAATATTAACTTAAATAAGAAATAGGTACCTACGGTGTCTATGGAAGAATTTATTAGAAAATTTTATTATTAATGGCTCTTTTATTATTTTATCCTAAAATATGTTTTTTGTTTTTGTTTGTTTTGTCTCTTAGGTAAATTGGTGGATGAAACTGGAGAGTATAAATATATGTATATAGCCTGCGGGGCTATTGTGTTCCTAGCAAGTGTGTGGCTGCTCATTGGTAATACTATAAACTATAGATTGCTTGCAAAGGAAAAGAAGTTGGAAAAAGCAAAGGAGGAAACGTATAACAAGCCTGAGCCCCGAGAATCTGAACCTTTGAACGCATCTAAACAATGTGATGCTGAAGTCAAAAGCACGAGGCCAGGGCGCAATCCCTCAGAAAGAGAAACTAATATATAGCAAGAATCACACCTCTGATTTCAGTGTTTATGACTTTTTAAAAAGTATGTTTTTGTATTGATTTTTTAGACAGAAAGGAAGGAAGAGGGGAAAGGAGATAGAAACATAGATGAGAGAGAAACATTGATTGGCTGCCTCCTACCGAGGATCCAGCAGGCAACCCGGGCATATGCCCTGACCAGGCATCGAACCAGCGACCTCTTGGTGCATGGGACAACGCTCATCCACTGAGCCACACCGGCCGGGCCAGTGTTTATGACTTTCTTATAAGAACTTTTTTTTTCCCCTCCAAAATATTGGAAAGGATTTTAGTTTAAATAAAACTTCATAATGAATGACGGAGATGAGATTTCCCTCAATGGCAGATTTTAAATGTTTCCCTTTTAAAAGTTATATTTTGAGATTATGCATATAACGAATGCAAGGGTTTTATTTTCATACATGACTGTGGTTGTGGTAATTAAAATAATTTCCAAATCTTCCAGTGACTTCCAGTCTTGATTATAGAGATCTGAATTCCAAACCCCTGGTTTAAGTAGTTAGAAGGAATATGTTTAATCCTATAAAAATACCCTCTCCACATTTCATTTTTTAAGATATTAAAGTATGAAATGGAACTAAAAGCAAATGAATTTCCACTCACAGTATCTGGAGAATAAAAAACAAATAAGTTCAAAAAGAACATTATCACCATACTATTTTTTTTCTTTTTACTTAAAAACCATCCATGGAGAAAAAAGATGTGTGTTATATTTGCATACTACTGTACATGTGGATTTTAAAGATAAGAACATAAGAACATGGGTGGTGGAAATGAGGTGATCTTAATTTGAAAATACAACTAACTTTTTTAAACTGTAAGATTTGATTAATTTGATTAGCCCATGAACATGCTTTCTTTGAGGGGGCCATTAGTACCTGGTAGTAGAGAATAGCACCCTCAAATTAATTTTTAGAATTTTTACCTAATATGTAATCTAAGTTAAAAGCCTAAATTACCCTCAAGCAATGGACTGTGTCCATTGATTTTAAAAGGGATTTTTTAAAAGATTTTTTATTGGTTGAGAGAGAGAGAGAGAGAGAGAGAGAGAGAGAGAGAGAGAGAGAGAGAGAATGGATTATAGAATTTGCAACCTTCGGAGCAGGTATGATGCCCAACCAACTGAGTTGCACAGGGCAGGGCTAAAAAGGATTTTTGTTAGTAATCCAGAAAGTAAGAACCAGGGATTTTATTTTAACCAGAACTCATCTGAGCTATTTTCAGACTGAGACAGCAAGTAGAATCAACCCAAATCCTGGTGGATAGATTTACAGATAAGCCAAGTTGTAATTTTTCCCAACACGCAGTGGTGATCAATAGGTTACTGTTATGAGTAATACATTTGAGAAAACTAAGAGTGCAGGGGTGCTTATAATGAGTCCTCTAAACTCTCATTTCCTCCCTTCCCCAAAAATGTAAAAGCAAAAACCAAAAATCACAAATAGGCTTTTTACTCAGCCGCTGAAAATGCCTCCTATTATAGGGATGTCGGCGCTTGAACATTCTGCCCTCTACTGACTGGGCTTCCTGCTGCCTCTGAACTTACCTGGTAACTATTAACTAAACCAGGAGACTGTTAAAAAAACAGCTGCTAGGACTGGAGGCTGTGCGTGACCTGGTACATGCACTTGTGAAGGGCAGGGATCGTGTATAACAATAGCAAGAAGCTTGCAATCCTGCGGCCCAGATTAATTTCGCAGTTTCTCGTTTTCATGGCGATGTGAAAACATCTGGGAACCCGCAGCACTCGAATACAATGGCACATGATAGTTTTCTGTACATTCAGAACTGTAAATACCATTCTGAGCTATAAAGCGCTTGTAAACAAGAAAGAAATTGTGCTTTACGACTAAAGGTATAAATATTTTGTCTACAGATCTGAAGTTTAAGTTAAGACCATGATTAGTAAAAAGCATTTAGTGCTTGATTATTGAAGTGATGACACTCTCAAGATGTCAAAAGGAATTTGCTGGGGTTTTTGTGTGTTTTATTAATTGCGGTAGAGACAGGTGCTATTCTTATTCCCTAAAAGATTGTACCTGTATATCAAGCTTTGGTGATAGCTTACATGAAGGATTTAATTTGTAAAATGTATGCACTGTTTAAGGATGCGGTTCACATTTAGGAAGCTATATAAAATTCCATATTTCATTTAACGTTCACTGTTTGCATAAAAAAAGAGGTATTTGTATTTTTCAAATATTAAGTAAAACGATATGTGCCAATACCATCAGTAAATTAATCAGGGAAATGTGGCAGTATATGGCTGTGGGTTATTATTATTATTATTATTATTATTTCATTTTATCCGATCTTGAGTCTTGAATGAGCTATTTTCATATTATGAGTGCTTTTCTATGTTACTCTGATTCGTCGTAAGCAATGCAATATCGTAAATTAGTCACTCTCCAGTCTTCAACATTTCCCAAAGTGTCTTGAATTCTCTGGAGACACACTTGTAAATGAATATAGATATTAGACTCAGGAGTAAGGAGAATAAATAGCAGAATAGTGATCATGGGTTTTAGGTCTAAGGCTATAGTCCTTTTTATCACCAGCTGGTAGAGACGTGCTGGTGGGGGGCATTCCAGTAGTTCTCTCCACAAAAAAAGGTTTATTCACATACTGACAAATTTCTTGTCAAAAACCAATTCGTATTTATTTTATTGCTCCTTGGTCATCTTTAATATGCTTTCATTTCTGGCACTGATTATATCAAATTGTTAAAAAAAAAAAAAAAAGAGAAGGGAAATTGTGCATTCAGAGTACATGATATGATGTACACAGTCATGTCTGGCAGTGGCAATGCAGCAAGTTACAAATACGTACACATAGCAATGCCCATACATACATATTGAAAATTTAAATCAGAGTATACTGGAAAGAGTGATGTAAATTCTCATACAGGACGCAGAATTGTTCCAGGGCAAAGTAAGTTTTTCTACTTGTGCACTCTTCCTGCTCTCTTGAACTTGTTAAAATATTTATTGATTTAACAGAATCTTTCAAAGATTGAAAAGAGAATATTAATTTAGAACATTCATTATCATTTTGCCACATAATAATGATCTTTCCTGGTCCTTTTTAGGTCCAATCAGCACACATTTAAGAGGCAGGGAGTCAGGCTCTGGTGTACTTCATGTTGGAAGACTTGATGTTTTCTCAGTGTAACTTCACATGACACCTAAGTTTCACTTCGTTAGTACAGAGTTCCAACCACCTTATCTACACACACACACACACACACACACACACACACACACTATTCCCAGACACTAGGAAATAACTAAAATCATTAGGTTTGATACACTTGAATGTGCACTTTAGAAATCTAGGTATTTTTTACTCATCCTTCTCTGGCTGCACATGACAACTGAGGATAAAGAAAAAAAGACCATAAGATGTATTAATGTAAGTTGATGTTATAAAATATAGAAATAGCCTTAATCACTAGTTGAAACTTATTTCCTATCAAAAATACATTTTCAAAAAAAAAACCAACACACCCCAAAACCTCTCATTTGTATAAAATTTTAGGCTTAATTTAAAAAAAATTGTGACTGGGGCCAACAGTGTATACTTTTGGCAATTACCACTCATCTTTCAAATAAAGGAACTTGTGTGACTGTACATTCGATACATATATATTTGAATGTGATTTTTAAAAATCTACAAAAATTGATCTTTTTGCCCTTGGCCCTTATTCTCCTGGATGTTTCTAATTTTCTTAAAGTGCCTGACAACTTGGAGAAACCAAGCTTACCTTCAAACATAGCACCATCACATCCATCCTGTAGTTCCTTTCGATGCAATGACATCATCCATACAGCATACTGAGTAGATTCCTTACCACAACAGTTCACAATACCAAAGAGCATCACAATGATTGAGATAAAATAGAAATTAGTCTTTACTCATGTCACTTCTTTTTAGGGTTGGGATTCTACATGTCGATGTGCATGACCTCATGTATGAGAAATCGACTTCAAAACCAACAGACCCAATTGTCAGTAATTACAACGCTCGCATAATCAAAATCAGAAACTGAGCTCCAGAAACTATCTCCGTTGATCCTTAAAAATCGGATAATTTGCTGGGCTCATGGGATTTTGTTGTTGTGATAGTCTCTTTGCTAGCAATAGTCTGTACACTGTAGGTTCTAACTCTACCTGGTTTATTTCACTCCTCTGTCCCTCACTGCTTTTTTTTCACCTTCTTTGGCTTCTGTGAGATTCATGAAAGAATTGCTAGGGTAGTATTGAAATTCATAATTGTAGGTCTCTGCTTTAAAAGGAACAGTAATGCTGCAAAAATAATTTTTTACTTTAGTGGAGCATAGGAGAATTTCTTTAGACCGTATTGCTTCTCCCATCCCAACCCCATGCTGCTTTACCTTGCCCCCTTCCTTTCTTTCTTCTTTTTTATCATTATTTTTAAAATCATTTTCTTTTCTTTTTTACAATGTGTAGGTCAAGTTCTTAGAATTTCATCTAATTGTGGACATTTTTAGCACAGGGTTTTTGTTTCTTTGGCGGGTTTAGTTTACTTCCTCTATTTGCCCACTCTCCATGTTTTTCAGTCTTCATAGATGCTTGTTAGTAAGTTGCATAATATTCAGTACTTCAGCAGATGATTGATTATTCAGAGGTCATAAATTTACTGTCTTTCAGCAGATATTTTTCTTCACACAGTTTAACAAGCCTTTTGCTCTTTTGTTTTAAATTTGAATATGGCAAAATAAGCTAGGGAAACGCAGGCACTCAATATTCTGTTAAGTATAGATTAGTAAAGAGTTCTGTTCAGATGAACAAAAGAATTATGTGAATGTCTGAGTGAAGTTTTAACACATTCGTCTAAGACTTTCATTCTAGGTTTACCATTGTTTTGCTCTCATATGTATCTAAAAAAAAAAAAAAGGTTTTAAGTTTAACCCAGTTTATATAGCTTGTTCATTAAAGTACAGGACAAATTTTTAATAAACTATTTAATTGACTTTAGTTTTCTACCAATGCTATTCTAAGTAAAGTATAAATATTTCTGGATTTAGTGAGGAAGGACATGTGAACTGAACTGTTTATTTTCTAAGCATTATGTGTAATTTTGATTTGTATT